AGGTGGTGAGACTGTATACCATGGTCCCATCGGCCCCGATTCGCGGGATCTCATTGGCTACTTGGAACGCAACGGTGCCCCTGTCCCCCACGATGCCAACCCCGCCGAGTTCATGCTTGAGGCCATCGGTGCCGGTTCTCGAAAGAGAATGGGTGGCGGTGACTGGGGAGAGAAATGGAGGAACTCGCCCGAGTTCGCTAAAGTCAAGGAAGAGATTCAAGAACTCAAAGCGCACGCTCTTGCTTCGGGCGGCGAGGACAAGACCGTCCACACCGAGTATGCCACCAGCTTCATGTTCCAGCTTAAGACTATGCTCCACAGGACCAACGTGGCTTTGTGGCGAAACGCCGACTACCAATGGACCCGACTCTTCGCCCACTTGGCTATCGCTTTAGTCGTCACTCTTACTTTCCTTCAGCTCGACAATTCACTTCAATCGCTCCAGTACCGAGTCTTTGCCGTCTTCTTTGCTACCATCTTGCCTGCTCTGATTCTCGCCCAGATCGAGCCCCAGTACATCATGAGTCGAATGACCTTCAACCGAGAAGCCAGCTCCAAGATGTACTCATCTACCGTCTTCGCGCTCACTCAGTTGCTCGCTGAGATGCCTTACTCTGTCGGTTGTGCCGTTGCCTTCTACCTCTTGCTCTACTATGGTGTTGGCTTCCCTTCCGCGTCATCTCGAGCCGGTTACTGCTTCGCTATGATCCTGATCACCGAAATCTACTCCGTCACTCTTGGTCAAGCCGTCGCCGCTTTGTCGCCCACGATCCTCATCGCCGCCCTGTTGTGAGTGGTTATATCCGATTAATCATATGTGTGGATTCGTGCTGACGAAAGTGGGATTTCAGCAACCCGTTCCTACTCGTGCTCTTCTCGCTGTTTTGCGGTGTCACTGCTCCTCCTCCAACCTTGCCCTACTTCTGGCGAAGCTGGTGAGTCTTCCATCATTCAACGATACTGATACTGAATAGCTGCTAATCACGATCTATTTCAGGATGTACCCCCTTGACCCCTTCACTCGACTCATTAGCGGTCTTGTGTCATCCGTGCTCCAGGACGTTGAAGTCGTCTGTAAGGAGGAGGAGTTCAATGTGTTCAGTGAGTCTAAGCGTCTGACATTTGCTCCCCGATAGACAGAGAACTGATTCGAGCATTTCCCAAATCGCTAGGTCCCCCGTCTGGTCAGACTTGTAACGAGTGGGCTGGCGCCTTCGCCCAGGCCGTTGGCGGTTATTTGAACAACCCCGACGCCACCGACAACTGTCAATTCTGTCAATACCGGGTCGGCCAGAGCTTCTTCACTCCTCTGGAGATCTCCTTCGAAACCAGAGGTCGAGACCTTGGAATTTTCATATGTGAGCCAAAATTGCGCTATCTTCTCGTCAATGATGTGGTAGCTGATGAAAAAAACGATCGTAACAGGTTATGTCGTCTTCAACATTCTCGTTTTGCTGGTCGCCGCTCGATTCCTCAAGTGGTCCAGGCGATAGAAGAGTTGAGCGTGGGAGATGTGAGGGGGAAGTTCCCGGCGGGCAGCCGTTAATACACAAAAACTCTAGAATAGACTGTCATGAGTTTCATACATCACCTAATTTATGGATAATTATATCGAGACAGCCGGGAGGACGTTTTTCAAACGATATGCCACGGCGTCTTCCAAGTCACAGCTGCTTCTGCTGAGAGGTTTGCCTTGTGCACGTCCACCATTGGACATCAAATCGCCTTCTTCGTGACATGCGTTGCATGTATCATGCGTCGATGATGCTGTCAAAGTGGGAAAGAGCAGCTTTGTACAACAACAGGATCCTGGCGCCACTCCGTTCACCAGCGGTGACCTCCGCCCGAGATTTCCGACACTCGCGATAAGTTGACCGACCTTTTCGAAGCCGTATCTCTCGATGTTATTCCGCTCTGTCTGTTGTCTTCTCTTCAAAACAACGCCTCTAAGAAAAACTCAAATCAGCGCGAAATTAAGTCAAGATGTCAGAAGAGATCGTCATCCCGTCCCCTGCTGAGTACGTGAGGACCATCGTTGAGCCGCGTCCGTGTACTCCGCCTATACAGATCAACGTGTTGCGCAAGTTGTCTAATGGGAATTGATAGGAATAAAGAGCTCACAAGACGCTTCGTTTGGGTTCCAGCTTTCACGTCCATGTCAGGCAGGGGAAGATGTGCGAGCTGGTTACTCCTCAGGTCGCCAAGGGCGGCGTCCGGACTGCATATGTGATGGTGAGTGGCAGTGATGGGAGCGACGAGATGGATATGTTGTGCCAGACGCTGACTGCTTTGCCGATCCGTTTAGCCCAACCTTGTGCCTCCTCTCACTTCAACCGACGCAGTCTTATCGTATAAGGCAGAGCTGGAGCGTATCGATCCGTCTGTGCAGTGGCTTATGACCCTCTATCTCCATACCGACGTGACACCTGATGTGGTCAGGAAAGCAGCAGATGCCGGGATTTATGGCATAAAGGTGTACCCACAAGGTTTGACTACGAACAGTGACTCTGGTGTCAAGGATTATGAAGCGTATTATCCAGTATTTCAAGCAATGGAAGAGAACAACATGGTGCTCAATTTACATGGTGAAGTGTCAAGTGATGCGGAAAAGGTGAGTGATAATCACTTGTCGTCTTATTCTAGCGATGGCAAATCGGGTGATCGTGTAGCAGCAGCATTCTCAGATCAAGCGGACTCGCACATATGTACGAAGTCGCGATGAAACGTGGAAACCTCGCGTTCTGTTTTTCCTAGCTCGTTGCTCTGAAGGGATCTTACCGTTTGTTGATAAAGCTCGCTGACCTGGTGTCTCGCCCATCGGAAACGGCAGAACATCTCGGTCCTGAACGCAGAGGTACACTTTCTCTCGCACCTGAAGAAGATCGCCACCGACTTCCCCAAGCTTCGAATCGTCCTTGAACACGCCACCACTGCTGCTGCTATCGAGGCCGTATCTTCACTACCTGCCAACGTGGCCTGTACTATCACCGCGCATCACCTGTACCTCACTATCGACGACGTCCCTTCACAGCCGCACCACTTCTGTAAACCTGTTGCGAAGGAGCCCAAAGACAGAAAAGCGTTACAGGATGCGATCAAATCAGGCAACCCCAAATTCTTCCTAGGGTCGGACTCGGCGCCTCATCCGCTCTCATCGAAAATTCCCAACCTTACGGATGACGGCTCGGTATCGGCCTGTGCTGCCGGCGTTTACACCTCGCCCATCCTCATTCCGCTCGTGGCCACATTGCTCGAGTCATTCGGTGCGCTCGATAAGTTAGCCGGTTTCGTAAGTGAGAACGGCAGGAAGTTCTACGGTGTGCCTGCTGGGGAGAACCAGGAGTTGAAATTGAAGCGCACAGGCAATGGGAAAGAAGATGGGCTGGTAAAAGGGACCTTCAAAGGTGAAGGAGTGGAGGTCCTGCCGTTCTGGACCGGCAAGAAGCTTGGCTGGGAAATCGTCAACTAAGCACAAGACCGGATCCATCAAGACAGACCAGCGGGGATTGTCACCAAGGACGCAACTCTGCGCGAGCAAGGCTCCAGCGCCCATATCGATCTGGAAAAAGAAAGCCTGAAAATCACATCATGCATGTAGACCTTTAGGAATATATCAGAGTTGTCATGCACCTCATCGTCCCATGCTTGCTATCATTACACTCGCAGTACATCATTTCCCTCTTATCCCATACTTATGCTTGGATTCCGAAGTTGACACCTTGAGCTAATGGCATTTTGGTCGAGTAGTTGACAGTAGCTGCAGACCATCGGCAGTACTGGTGCCAAGCTGTGCCACCTGACTCCCTGCCCCATCCCTGCAAAATCAGGTAAGAGACGATTCGTCGTTTGTTAGCGTTACAACTCGATCATCTTGGAAAATCATTCCTTGGCTAAAGAGTAAAAGCTCACGGTAGACTTGTTGCCACCGAATCCGGCACCGATCTCGGCCCCGCTCGTACCTACGTTGACCTACGTGTGGTGTATGGATCATATCAGCTTCGCCCGACCTCATGTTTCTGCGACACAAGAGTCATTGGTCCATGTCTTGACGGTAGACCCTGCCTAGTCGCGGTTCAGGCTTTCAATCTCACTCACATTGACCTGAAAACAGCATAAATGATTGATATCATCAGCTCACGTAGCACCTCATAGTTATTAAAAGCCGAACTCACAATACCACAATCGGAACCTTCGGGCCCGAGCCATATGCCCATGTTCTGCAAATTCGAAGTGAACAGCGAGCTTGACAATCCTTGGGGTACCGAGTTATTGAGGCTACAAACAAGAATCAGGCTTGCGCATCAGCAATTTCCAGAGGGTCCCGCATGGCACCAAACGGTATCGGGCTGTTCAGGTACTCACGCGATCGCCTCATCCAGCGTTTCAAACTCCATAACATATAGAATTGGCGCAAACGTCTCTTCCATCCAGCCCTTATCATTCTCAGAGGGTTTGACAACGACCGGCCACACCCAATTGCCCTTGTCTTCCACGCCAAACTCGCCGCCCTCAATTCTACCTGATCGCAAAGTAAGGATCTCGCCACCCTTCTCAACAACAGAAGCCAGCACACTCTCGTACTTCTGAACAGCTGCTTCGTTGTGAAGCGGGCCGATCAGAGTCGAGGCGTTCAGGGGGTCGCCAACAAGTAGTTGCGAGGTAGGGTGAGACGAGTCATAGATAGCTAGGAGGCGAGACAAGAATTCTTTGGAAATGGATTTGTGCAGGAGCAGTCGTCGGGTTGATGTACATCGTTGACCTCTGCAATAATTACATACGACATCGTGATCAGCTTCAATAGGAAAGGCGGTCAGGTCGACGGATGCTCATGTCAATCACATGCGAAGAGCACTTACGCCGTGCCCACAGCCGCGAAGAGAACACCCTGCAATGCCAGACCAAGATCGGCATCCTCGTGGACAATGACAGCTGAGACCGTGCAACGCTTTTAGGTCAGCGTACAATTCTTCATGAGCGATTTATGAGCTTCGTCTTCATCTACGACCATAGATGGAGAAACCGCCGAATCCCGTACGCTCTTCGAAGCTAAGCTCGCTATCGCTCGGTTAGTACCATCATGGGGGACCAGATGGGAATCCCGGGTGTTGTAGTTTCAATTTTTGCTCGGCATATGACATGGTAACATAGAATGAATGATTGCTCACCGTTGTTGCCTCCAAGCTCGAGGATTGTCTGAACGTGCTTTCTGGTCAGCAACTTAACGGTACGACATTAGTTAGACCAGACAGCATACCTTTCCAAATCGATCCTGCACGACCTTGCCGACTTCCTTACCGACCTTTTCACTACCAGTAAAACTGACTGTTCGATAGACGCAACGCGACACGAACTTGCGTCAGTCGCCAGTAACCTTTCGACCACTTGGGCAGTGTCACTCACTCAGAGGGATATCATCACTTGCTACCACTGTTTTGCCGACCTCCGTACCACCACACACGAGGGCAGCAGTAGCGCCAGGTAGACCATTTCTCTCCAAAACGGGCTGAATGAGACGAGCGACGGCGATTGCAGCTCTAATTCATGAGATCTATAAGCTTTTGGATCTTAGGATCTCGGAAGACGACTGCCGACTCACAAGGGGGTGGACGGAGCGGGCTTCCATATCGTGCTGTTTCCGGTGGCCAGGGCAATGGTCATATTCCTGGATAAGTTGACAGGAAGATTAGGCATCTGTCAACTCAGCATTCCAAAGGGGAGCCCACATCTTTGGTAGACTCACCAGCCCTACGAAAATCGTCATTACCAGTGCCGTAACACACGAGTATCGCGAGTCAGCACAGCTTGGAACTGAGCCTGAAGTCGGACTTACGTAGACAGCCACCTGTACCAAATATGTCAGTCATTCAGCTGAGCATTCTTTTGGCCAGAGGATAGCGGACTTACCGGAAAGTTGAAGGCAGACAGAATACCAACAACACCGAGTGGATTTGGGACTGTCGATGAGGAGGTCATCGGTCAATACCAATTCACTGGCCTGCTGTTATACATCAAGCAAATAGGCTCACTCTCGTAGATCACATGCTCGGGTCTCTCGCTCGGAAGGACGTTTCCCTTCATAGTCCTCGATAAGCCCGTCGCGTAGTCACACTAGGAAGCATACACGAATCAACTCATGGAATCCGCTTCAGATGTCCACAGTACGAGCTCAGAGGAGTGAGCGATTCCCTTGGGACATGACACAAACGCCAACCTACTATATCGACGAACTCGACAACCTCTCCCCTACCCTCGGACTTGATCTTCCCCATCTCAAGACTGACGAGGTCTCCCAGCTCGTCCACTTTGCTCATCAGTGCCTCTCTGATCTGTCGGATGATCTCGCCTCGTTTGGGAGCTGGCATCTTTCGGACAAGCTTGGAAGCTTCGAGAGACGCTTGAATAGCCGTTTGGGTCTCGGACGGGGATGCCTATGTCATTCGGCTCGCGTCAGCCCATCGCTGGCGAAGATGTACGCGACTAGGATTCACTCACACTTCTGACTCTGCCTAGGACCTCCCCTGTAGCCGGACATTTAGACAAGATCTCCTCACCAGAGCCTTTCCACTGGCCATCGAATACGCCAGGGATCTCGGCACCATCCGTGGGCAGATTGAGAGCTGAAAGGACACTAGTCGCTCGTGAAGACAATAATCGTCGACTGTTCGCCCTCGTTACGAAGACGAGATGAGAACTGGCCAGACGGTTGGCTGTACGTGAAAGGCTAATCATAGTGCTTGCGGGTTGGTTCGATCGTAAGTTGGAAGCGAAAACAAGCTACCTTTTCAAGAGCGAGCGACCTAACTAGCTCTATATATGTAGGGTGAGTGGTCCCATGTTTGATCAAACGCATGTGTATAACCAGGTCATGAGGACGAGTGCATGTTCCGTCCGGTTGATGATACAGTGTATCGTATCGTATAAGCGCGGATACAGCATATACAGCATTCTTAGCATGGTCACTCCGGCTACTCCTACAGTCCGATACTAGTACCCCATAACGGCCTTCTCCGTCAGTATCATCAGGTCGAGTCGTCTCGTCGCTACTCGTCCGTTTTGGCGTTAGAATCAACTGCGCTACACCCCCTAAAAGAGGTTAAAACGGTAGCAGATCCGTCGAGGTGAATACGTGCTGAGCTAGATGTCTGCCAAGATCCGATATTCGTACAATCGGCATAGTAGAGATAAGATACAAAAAGGTAGAAAGGACATGTTCCTACGCCCGCCAGACCTGGAAATAGCCAGGGATGAAAGGTTTGGTCCACCTGCACAGCTCCGTCCTGCTGTGGTCCCCGACATCCCTCCCTCCCCTGTCTATATCTTCCCTTCCACCTTCTTCATCTGTATTATGGCTTGTAAAGTGATTAAGAGGTCCGTCCAAGTACCGGTGCACCTCGTACACCCTATTACCTGAACCTATCTGTTCCAGTCCTTTCAAACGATCCGCCAGTACCAGCAGATCATCGCTGTTCGGTCCCCATTTCTCTGGGGCATTCACGTGAAGAATCCTCAGTTTCTGACCATGTTCAGCGAGCGCTTCACAGTCCAAGACGGTGTTCCTGTGATTCACCGAGATATACAGCTCTTCCAGATGCGGGTTGGAGGTAAGGATATGTGCAACAGTTTCAGAGGCGATCACGAGGTTGATCAAAGACAGCTTGATCAGGGATGGTGGGAGTTGAGCCTGAAGATGCTGGTATGATTCGAGCGGCAAGAACAGATGTGCGGCTGACAATGTCAGATGCAGTGACGTCAAGGAGGGGAATGCAGGGAATGTAGGTAGGTCTGCCGGTTCGATCGTGGGATCTGAAGCATCTTTATGTGGTGTCGTCATGGAGAGGGACAGGGTGTTCAATCTCGGGAGACTGGGAGAGGATGCTAGATCCAGGAGCCCCTAAGACACGATTATGATTAACCTTCCGGTCCAGCCTTGGTTGATTCGCTAACACTTACCGAGTGTGGCAGAGCGTCTAATGATAATTCCGCTACTTCATCCGCAGCCTCGCTCAGTATGCTGAAAACTCCGTCCCGTGTCACTCTTGAACAACCCCACAAAGTCAGGCGTTTTAGTTTACTCAGATCCGGGGCGATCGTCTTGAATATCGCATCGTCAATCAAGGATGAGGTCTAAACCAATCTGCTAGTCAGCTCGGTTGCCCTATCACGCACAATCAGCAGAGCTCACCTGGCAAATGATTCCGAGGCCTCTTAGACCTCCTGCGGGACGTTGCGCTAGAGTCTTTACGACGTCGACGAGGTGAGACTTCAGGTTCGGATCAGGCATCATGATACGCAAGTCTCTCAGCGCAGGCATGGTACCAAGCAGGGCCGGATCGTAGTATCGGTACGAATGACCGGATATCTCAAGCGACGTGAGATGGTCCAAGTCGGCTATCGTCTCTATAAAAGCTGGATTCAGCGATCGATCACGCTGGGGCGCAGCGATACAGTCAGTCACTGTCATCAGGCAAGAAGGGCAACCTGGCACACGAGGAGCAGCCGGCCGGCATGATCCGTTTACTCACTGTCCAGACCAATGATCGAAGGTTGCGCATATTCTCCATGGCTCTCTTGACGTGGTCATCGAGGTCCGAGCGCTCTTCACCTCTAGCAGCGAGCGGGAAGAAGCGTACGTCTGGAGTGTGGTGGACTTCAGCTAGGCTTTCCTCGTAAAGAATGGGAGGTGTCTTGACAGCTTACCCAGTCGTTTGATCAAGCTACATAATTCGGGGTGCTTGTGCAGGGTATCAAAGAGCAGTACAAGCTATGATCAGAGCTGTCAGCCCCATTCGATGTGAGCGTCACACTATAGGGAGGACCGACCGACCTTGAAATGACAGCCGTCCTCCCCTGCAGATCTGGTCAGCATGTACAGCGAGCGAGAGAGCGAATGTCAATACGCAGATGCGACTCACATGGTCTGATCCAGACGTGCTCATATAATTTTCTCCTACCTATCCTGCACCATTCCCTGCTCACTCGGCATATCTTGGCAAGATCTCTAGGCTGGTCAAAGTGTTCCAAAACGGACGGCACCAGCTCGGGATACTCAAACAGCTTTGACAAGGGAGAAACATCGTCATCATTCTCGTTTTCAGCTCCAACGACGCTTTTGCCTTTAGAAGGCGGGAGCGGTCTAGGCAGAGGATACACCCTAGCTTGACGAGGCGGTGTAGGCGGACGCTGGACCGGTTCAGGGATATGCGATGGAGGATGCGCGGCGTGCCATTGTCGTGCGCGGAGGAACATCTTGTCCAGCCTCAAGGGGATCAGGCGCGGGCCATCATCGAGCCTTATGGCGCGCAGCTCAGCGTCGAGGTTGAGCAATTCCTGTTCGTCCATGGTCGCCTGTATGAGGACTGCGGCTCTGTCTGCCGTTATAATAGGAGAGACTATGAGATCGAGAGTCGATCAGGCCAACTTATCTCGACATATATAACCTGTATCAGTGAGATGGAGCAATGGAACTAGCGGACACCCAAGAGTGGAGGTTGAATGTGTTCAGTGGTGCTTGTAACTTATTTCGTCCACCCTCTTAATCGTCTCGGATCTTTGGATCTTTGGGATCTTTGCTGTCTGTTTTGCTTGTCTAGTCGCCTTTGCGACCTCATCAACATTTCTCGGACAAGCATCCTCGTAGAAAAAAAAAATAAAGTCCTAATAACCATCGTACACCGCTCCGCTACACTACTCTACTCTACTGCCTACTGCGACTTATCCGAAAGAATGCTCGGTCTCGCCCGAATATATCTCTCCTCCGCCTCTGAGCTGAGACAACAGCTCTTCGCCGGACCCTCAAGTGAGTGGGCGATTTGATGTTCCTATTGTGTCTCCCCCTTAGAAATGATATCAAGGTCGTCATGTCTGATGAGGCAAAGCTGACAAAACAAAAACAAAAACTTGATTTACGATCGTATTGTCGTTCTTGGTATATTATAGATCTCGCGACTCAGGTTCGATTCGCGTCAAAAGCTGCAGGTGGTAAATCGAGGAACGGACGAGATTCGTCTGGTAAAAGACTGGGCGTCAAGCGATATGGTGGTGAGTGATGCTCTCGGTAGTGATCAGCCCGCTTCGTTCGTTGTTTGTTTGGCTATTGAGCCATACTGTGCCTCGC